GCCGGAGGATTTCCATGGAAACACACATTGCATAGCATGTATTTCATTAAGTGCCGGAGGATTTCCATGGAAACACACACTGCATAGCATGTATTTCATTAAGCGCCGGAGGATTTCCATGGAAACACACACTGCATAGCATGTATTTCATTAAGTGCCGGAGGATTTTCATGGAAACGCACATTGCATAGCATGTATTTCATTAAGTACCGGAGGATTTTCATTGAAACGCACATTGTATAGCATGTATTTCATTAAGTACCGGAGGATTTTCATGGAAACGCACATTGCATGGCATGTATTTCATTAAGTACCGGAAGATTTCCATGGAAACACTCATTGCATAGCATGTATTTCATTAAGTGCCGGAGGATTTTCATGGAAACGCACATTGCATAGCATGTATTTCAATAAATACCGGAGGATTTTCATGGAAACACATATTGCATAGCATGTATGTCATTAAGTACCGGAAGATTTTCATGGAAACACACATAGGATAGCATGTATTTCATTAAGTGCTGGAGGAGTTTCATGGAAACATACATTGCATAGCATGTATTTCATTAAGTGCCGGAGGATTTCCATGGAAACACACATTGCATAGCTTGTATTTCAATAAGTGCCGGAGGATTTCCATGGAAACACACACTGCATAGCATGTATTTCATTAAGTGCCGGAGGATTTCCATGGAAACACACACTGCATAGCATGTATTTCATTAAGTGCCGGAGGATTTTCATGGAAACGCACATTGCATAGCATGTATTTCATTAAGTACCGGAGGATTTTCATGGAAACGCACATTGCATGGCATGTATTTCATTAAGTACCGGAAGATTTCCATGGAAACACTTATTGCATAGCATGTATTTCATTAAGTGCCGGAGGATTTTCATGGAAACGCACATTGCATAGCATGTATTTCAATAAATACCGGAGGATTTTCATGGAAACACATATTGCATAGCATGTATGTCATTAAGTACCGGAAGATTTTCATGTAAACACACATAGGATAGCATGTATTTCATTAAGTGCTGGAGGAGTTTCATGGAAACATACATTGCATAGCATGTATTTCATTAAGTGCCGGAGGATTTCCATGGAAACACACATTGCATAGCTTGTATTTCATTAAGTGCCGGAGGATTTCCATGGAAACACACACTGCATAGCATGTATTTCATTAAGTGCCGGAGGATTTCCATGGAAACACACACTGCATAGCATGTATTTCATTAAGTGCCGGAGGATTTTCATGGAAACGCACATTGCATGGCATGTATTTCATTAAGTACCGGAGGATTTTCATGGAAACGCACATTGCATGGCATGTATTTCATTAAGTACCGGAGGATTTTCATGGAAGTGCACATTGTATAGGATGTATTTCATTAAGTACCGGAGGATTTTCATGGAAACGCACATTGCACAGCATGTATTTCATTAAGTACTTGAAGATTTCCATGGAAACACATATTGCATAGCATGTATTTCATTAAGTGCCGGAGGATTTTCATGGAAACGCATATTGCATAGCATGTATTTCAATAAATACCGGAGGATTTTCATGGAAACACATATTGCATAGCATGTATGTCATTAAGTACCGGAAGATTTTCATGTAAACACACATAGCATAGCATGTATTTCATTAAGTGCTGGAGGAGTTTCATGGAAACACACATTTCATAGCATGTATTTCATTAAGTGCCGGAGGATTTCCATGGAAACACACATTGCATAGCATGTATTTCATTAAGTGCCGGAGGATTTCCATGGAAACACACACTGCATAGCATATATTTCATTAAGTACAAAGAAAAAAAGACCATAGAATAGAGGGTCTATTATATGGTATCTGGTTCAATACATAAAGAATATATAGAAATGATATCAATGCTTTTGGTTGTGTGTGGGACACAGAGAAGAGAAATTATCAATATTTGTTTATATTATAATAATATCACCAAGAGTGATAAAGCAGCCTTTATATGTGGCGATACTGAAAGTGAGAATCAAGGCAGAGGTGAAATATTAGATTTACAATATATGCACTGACAGAAATATTGCATTGTATTGTGCTGCAAAGTATTGGTAACTATAATGGTTAGACATAAGTTTTCTTCTGCTGCAACTATAAAATTGAAATATGACAAAATTACCTTTCCTTGTATTGGCAAAATTTACACAACCATTTCTCTCGTTCAGATGTTGTTGTTAAATCAGTAAAAGTAGGAATTTTCAAGTTATATTTTGTCCATTCAACAGGACCAATGGGTACTAATTTTGATGATGACACAAATGAATGTTTATTAAAAAAATATAAGTATTTACCATGCAATTGAAATCACGCTTATGGTGCTTCGAAGCCGTTTTGATCTAGTTGTTATGTCCATTTTGGCGTATGACAGTTTTAACCATTTGAGATAGGCAGGGTTTACGGAACGAGTTAGTCGGGAACCGTCTACTGTTATCTAAGAGCTTACTATATTGCGCGTATTCACAATAGAACCAGTCAAATTATCAAGTCATTTAGAGTTTTCCCACGGAAACCTATTTCAAAGTGACAGGCTTCAGAAAGTGGAAGGCAGGTTGATTAATATAAGCTGACAGCTGTTTATGCGTTGTGAAAAAATCGGAAAATCGCAGGATCCGACTATAAGACAACACGTCTCATGTCGGTCTGTCCCCATCTCATCTCATTTCCAGTTTGTAAAATATGATTTGAATCCACCTCATAATGCATACTAGGCCTCGGACGAGTCCGAATTTACAACTCGGGTACCCACCCCTCTATTACCCGACCCTACCCAGGTACCCACTGTAGGTCTCAAGAAATAGGTACGAAATGACCGATTCGGCATCTTTTTACCATAGCACTGGCAAAACGTATGAAGATACATGTATTAAAACAATCTAGTCATGCGTACACTGAAGTTGACTCAAGTTATATCTTTATTCAACCATATCAAAAGTCAGGAGGAATGGGTGCATAGCCTGAAAGAAATGCGAACATTTGTGACTTTTAGTGTAACCATAGAGTTCTAGATAATTTTTGTCATTAAACAATATATCATGTGACAAACCACGGGTCTGGGTAGTCCTGTTGGTACCCAGGTCCTAATATGTACCCACCCGACCCGGGGTACCGAGTTACCTGTGCCAGGCCTAATGCATACAATACTATAAATATAATGACAGACAGCCTAGCGTTCCTATACTTCCTATGAATTCCTATTCTTTTTAGCTTCCCATACACCCTGAGTTCAAGAAATACCTGAAATTTTCTTTCCACGGGAGGTGTTATCAGTTCAGGGTTCTACCATTCGGGATCTCCACGGCCCCAAGGTGTTCACCAAGCTGATGTTGATTCCTGCCCAAGTGGCCAGGTCGAAAGGTCTGTTCTGCCATCCGTACCTCGACGACTGGTTTCTAAGAGCTCTATCGCAATCCCTGAGTCAGATAGCTACACAAGAAGTGATAGACATTCTGATCACTCTAGGGTGGATAGTCAATCTCAAGAAGTCAGATCTGAGCCCTACTCAGAATCTAGTCTTCCTAGGGGCGAATTTCAACATGGTGAGCGGAATTGTATCTCTGTCACAAGATCGCATTACCAAGGTCAGAAGTGTTACTTCCCAGTTCCTTCTGTCCGAAAGTCACACTGCTCGTACATGGCTCCAGTTACTGGGCAACATGGCGGCGACAGTGGATGTGGTTTAGCGGGCACGCTTGAGAATGAGACCCATTCAACAAGCGCTCCGTCGACTTTGGGTGAACTCAGAAGATCTCGAGACTGTTCTCGAGACTCCGCAGTGGCTCATTACACACCTTCAGTGGTGGACCGAGGTCGGGAATCTGTCACGGGGGCTCCCTCTCGACACTCCCGTTCCGGGGAGGCGTTCTGAACAATCACACTGCCTCGGGACTATGGTCCCAGCAGGAGATCAAACTGCATATCAATGTGCTAGAACTGAGAGCGGTCAGGTTGGTGTTCCAACGCTTCCTGGATCTGCTTCGTGGCCAAGTGGTTCGTCTAGAGATGGACAGCCAAACGGCGATGACTTACATCCGGAAGCAGGGGGGAACAGTGTCTCCGACGCTTCTCCAAGAGACGTGGCAGTTCCTCCTATGGTGCGACTCACACGTAATCAGGGTGATACCTGTTTATCTCCTTTGATTTGTTTAGAAATGGCCGACGGGAAACATGCAGATTTCGAAGTGGTCACAAACAAATGAGCTAAGGCTGATTCATTTTTGGCTCCTTTGCAGTCTTTTTCAATACAACCATGTAATAAAATAGTTATTTGGGGAAACCATGGAAATAAACTCTATTTGAAGAAAATATATGATATGAACAAGGAAATCAAATTCAATTGGTGTTCATGTACAAAAATAGTTCTTGGAACAGTTCTATCAGTCGAGTTTATGGTCAAACAACATCAGTGCCGGACTTCGAAATTGAAATCGGCAGTGCAACCTGAAAGTGTTACTGCTGGAAAAAACCATGAGATCTTCCACCCTGTGGATAGGTTGAACCCCCTTCATACTCCCCTAATTCTAGGAAAAAAAGGTCCCCTTGCAGACGGCTATATACGATACATTACAGTGTTGTGCTATTAATTACAATATTAATTTTCAAACTTATCCTATCTCACTCTACGCAGTTCATCCTTCTTCTTCATCCGGGCGGTCGGGTAGCCTTGTGGTTAAAGCATTTGCTCGTCAAGCCAAAGACCCAGGTTCGATTCCTGACAAGGGTACAACGTGTGAAGCCCATTTCTGGTGTTCCCCGCCATGATATTGCTGCAATATTGCTAAAAGGGGCATAAAACCACACTCACTCACTTCTGATCCCTTGCGTGGAAATGTCCTTGAACAAAGTTTCCAGCTTCTAAGCTCTATTCGCCCAAACACCCCTGGCATCACCATGATGACAACCCCAGTAATCAGGTCATGCACCCGAATCTGTTGCAGCTTGCTGTCCTCCATCTGGTCAACTGACACCCTCTGCCTCATCATTCTCTTTCTCTTTGCCTCCCTGTGGAGACATACTTTTTTTGGAAAGAATATTTAGGCCTTTATTTTTCTCAAAATTACAGGAGTTTGGGGCAATGCTTGCATCTAGATATGGGCAAGGTTCAAGTAAAACTGCCAGCCTGCAAGAAGTGCGGCCACTTATCTGTGCTAGTGGATCCACATTCATTATGCTACGACTGTTAAAGAATCTGTCAACCAGGTTTACAGTGTTCAGAATGCTCTCATCTGTCCCAAGAGGCACTCACAGATTATCCTAAAAAATGCCAGAAGAGAGGCATTGATAGCCGATCAAAATCAAAGGATACTGAACACGGACACTCTGCATTCAAGAAACCTAAGCGTCTACCAAGACTAGTGGTCATCCATCTGTGAAATCAGTGGTCAAGCAACCATCATCAGCCACGATCGCTTCCCTATAAGTGGAAGAGGGAACAATCTATCATCTTCACAATCTATCATCAGTGATCCGCTGACTATGACAAACTCCCAGATAAGGGTCGACATTTAGAGTCGACTTCAAAGGGCCGACATTCTAGAGAGAAGGCAACATCGAACCAGGATTGACCCTCCAAGGGTCTACATTCTTCAGATCAATACTCCAAGAGTAGACATTCCACAGATCGACAACCCGACATGCTATTCACTACGATAAAGCGTAAAATTGGATGCCAAACTAATAAGGCCTGCATCATTAGACCTTTGTAGAACTAATAGACCGGAGACCCCTTCCGAATTGGTTACAAGTGCTGGTTGAATAGCTTGCCTAATTCAAAACCATGCGGTCGTCATAGTACAATGTCCTATGCGAAAACACACAAGAGCATGATACACCCGATGGTATGTTTCTGTGTCCTTGTAGCGTAAAGGGAGTTATCAAGATCATTCAATAGCAGTGATTCACCCATAAAATCATGAGTAATATCTCCTGACGCGGATGTGTGACAGTCCTTGAATTGAAGCATGTCAGCACCAGCTTCCTCGTATACATCTCACGGTTACAAGACGAATACAGACAAGGGTAATCTGCGACCCACCGTCCAACTGTGGGATAAATGCATAGAGTGTGGTAAGATAAGTTTAAAAAATTGTAAATTTTACAATAAATTTATTCCTTACAATGTTACAGTGTTGTGCTATATGCAGTGTGATTTCTAACATTGTTACAGTATTGTGCTAAATATTATTCCATACACTGTGACAGTGTTGTGCTATATTCAGTAATATGCCTACATTGTTACAATGTTACAGTGTTGTGCTATGTGTAGAATTATTCCTTACCATCTTACAGTGTTGTGCTACATGCAGTATTATTTTTTACATTGTTTCAGTATTGTGCTAAATATAATTCCTTGCAGTGTGACAGTGTTGTGCTATATTCAGTATTATTCTTAACAATGTTAGTGTTGTGCTATATGCAGTGTTATTTCTTACATTGTTACAGTATTGTGCTAAATATTATTCCTTACAGTGTGACAGTGTTGTGCTATATTCAGTATTATGCCTTACATTGTGACAATGTTACAGTGTTGTGCTATATGCAGTATTATTCCTCACACAGTTATTAATTAAGAGATAATATCTGGTGTGATGTATTCTTAGCTTACTTTGGTTGATTGATGTTTAATGCCGCACTCAGCGATATAATATTCCAGCTACATGACAGCGGTCTGTTAATAATCGAGTCTGGACCAGAAAATACAGTGATTGACATCTAGAGCATCAATCCACACAATTTGGATACGATGACATGCAGGAACCAAGTCAGCAAGCCAGACCATCCGATCCCGTTACTTAGTCGCCTCTTATGACAAGCATGGTTACCTGACTTAAGGTCGTGTGAGCTGATGTGATTGCCTTCTTGTCTGGCGTCTGTTTGCAATGGCATCTGTAAACATCAAACAAATTTTTCTTTGTTTATAAACAGCTAACCTATAAGGCAAAATGAACTCGACAGTATTGAAAGCAATGCAGAATGTGCAGCGCAAATACACAGAGAAGCTACATGAAGCTAAGAAGCTAGAGACGCCAGCACCACCTACACCCTACATCCCTGGTCTGACTCCACGTCCACCAGAGTCTGTGGTCACATCATCACACTCAATGGCAAAGGGTACTGGTGAGATTAAAATTCTTCTGGTGTTTACCCTGCAGTATTCTGTCTACTCTAGGAGTCACAGAAAACATTGATTGTTATGAGGCTGAATTTTCATTGTTTTCTGAAGCCAATGTTTATTTTGCATATTCTTGTTTGTAAAAATTTGTTAACACCTCTTTTGTCTTTGTGTATTAACCTCAGTTCCTCAATCACCTATCTTGACAACTGTTTGGTGTGTACAACAATTAGTCAAGATGAAGATTTTATTCAGTATCACATGATTCTGTGTGTGTCAGTTATGGACTAACATACTTAGCATAGACCCTGTGGCTATCTTTTTCGGTCATGCATTCTTCACAGTTTCTGTTTTTATTTATGTTGTAAGGGGATCCATACCATATTTTATTATAGTATTAAAACATATGTATGTAGATTATATATATACTCAACAACTTCAGTTCCTGTGACACCAATATTTTAGTGTATTTTTCAAACAAGTAAAGTTTGTTTTTCAATATTGTAGTACATGTATGGAATCAAGTCACAAAAATGCAACTGCTACAGAAAAGCATGCATTCCATGCAAAAGTTGACTTTTATGCAAGCCCCATGCATTTCACTACCCATTGCAAGAATGGGTATAAAAACATGTGCGTTAACGGGATTCCGTATGCATTGTTTAGCATCGTGCTAACAACAACCACTCAGAAAAACAACAAATTTACGCAATTATTCAACATTACATTCAACAAATGCCACGCCTGTCCGAAAATGAGCGTCTGCGAGCCATTGGTATGCTTGAAGCAGGAGTCAATGTGATGTTGCAAGACAATTTAACGTCCACAGAAACACCATTTGGTGTTTATGGCAACGTTGGCAACAGACGAATGCAGTCAGAGACCATCCTCAGAGTGGCAGGCCATGCATTTCCTTTTCCGTGGCAGAACTAGAAAACAATTCAGTGTATTTGATCGAAACTTGGCAAATCTATCAGTCACGGAACGTTTGTTTCCGGAGCAGTACTCTGAAACCGTTAAAAATTTCTTCATCAAACTTTGCATTTATATCATTCAAGTGGTGAAGTTGTGCCTTTTGCTATTTAGGAATTTTAGAAATTTTTATTTTTTATGTTTCCATGGCAACAATTTGGACTTAGGTTCTATAAGGGTGGTGTTCATTTCCGGAACGTAACTCAAAAACCGTTAAATACTTTCTTACAAAACTTTGCATGTCTACCAGGCACATACTGAACTGGTGCCTTTTGCTACTTAGGAATTTTATAAATTTTTATTTTTTACGTTTCCATGGCAACGAGTTGGACTTAGGTTCTATAGGGTAGAGTTCGTTTCCGGAGCATAACTCAAAACACATTCAAAACTTTCTACCAAAACTTTGCATGTCTACCAGGCACATACTGAACTGGTGCCTTTTGCTATTTAGGAATTTTAGAAATTTTTATTTTTTACGTTTCCATGGCAACAAGTTGGATTTAAGTGTTAATATAGGGTGGGTTCACTTATGGTGTAAAACATTTGATTATCATCCCCCGCCCAACAAAGTTGGCGGGGTGTATAGAAACGGGCTCTGTCCGTCCATCATGTTTCGTTTCCGGAGCGTAACTCAGAAACAGTTCAATATTTTTTCATGAAACTTTGCAGGGTTTGTCAGGTACATGCTGAACTGGTGCCTTTTGCTATTTAGAATTTTAGAAATTTTTATTTTTTACGTTTCCATGGCAACAAGTTGAACCTTTAGAAATTTATGAATTTTTCTTTTAAATGCCAAAAACTCAAACAGTATAGGATTCTTATCACTGGGGACTTCAATATGGACCAGTCTGTCCGTGACAACAATGCACTATCCAACCTCATGGAGCAGTTTACATTCGCCCAGTAAATCAAGCAAACCAACCCACACCCTTGAGGGTACACTAGACTTGATCTTCTGTAATGAGCCCATCTCAACAGGAGTCTTTCCAGTTCCATACACTTCATTTGCTGGGCAGGAGACCTGGCCATGTTAGTGGCAAACTCTTCTTTTTTTTACAATTTCCATGGCAAGTTCCACCTCGGTTAAAAAAGGTGAGGGATTGTTTAGATTTAATTATGTCATAAAATTCTGCAACAGGGGCGGGGGATATAGCCATGTTAGTGGCAAACTCTTGTTTTCATTTATTCAATAAGATAATCATGTTTAGTTCCCCATAGATGTCATCATAAGAAAATCACGTTTAGTTCCCCCATATATATGTCATGAAAAGAGAATCACATTCAGCATGTTCAGTTCCCTATCAATTGTAAAATGTCACATGGACAGAAGGTGGACATGTGATCGTCGCCTTCCACTGAGCAACAGAAAGGGATATATAATAAGGTTACCATACTTAAAAAAATAGATTTATGAATACAGTATACCTATTTGGAATTCATATTTATTAAAGCCATATTTATCATGACCAAAATATGGAATAATTAACATTAAACTCAGTAATTGGTCTCAATTTGTTAATACTACTGGATTAGAACCAGTTGTAGGATAATAGAATAACTTGCTTCGTAACTATGGTTGCACCAAAGTACAGGAGCAAACGGAATAGCATCAGGGTCTGACCAAAGTTCTAAACTTTATGTTGTTTTCTCAAACAAACTTACCGAGTTTGTGGGATTGGGGTCTGCTTCTGTTGCAAGTACTTTCAAACAGTTAATCTACATTCTGATCAAATCTATTGAAAAGTACAAATTGGACTGTAAATACTACATTCATACTTTAGGTTTGATACATTGTTGAAAATGATTTCACTACCAATTGATCCTGTTTATTTAACATAAGATAATTTAACTTGAAACAATTCTGATTCATGTGGTGGAACTGATCAGTTAATGAAAGTACCTGATCAACAGTTTCTATTTCCCCTAAAGCTAATATTTATATATTTTCAGGTTCATTACCAAAGGTGGTTCCAGCAGAACTGATAGAGACTTTCTTGGGTGGTACGAAGCACCCTGTGAGTGCCCTGATGGAGTATGCTGCCATGTTGAGACTGACACCTACATTTCATGAAGTGGCAGTAGAACAGTATTCCTTCACAGCTAAGTTTGCTAATGAATGTCGCATTGGCACCACTCACTATCCACAAGGTGTTGGGAAGACAAAGAAAGAAGCCAAGACCAATGCAGCAAAGGTAGCCTTTACAAAGTTGCTGGGTTTGGACGAAGATGACATAGATGATGATTCAGGCAAGTGGCAGAATCCGTTCTATTTGTGAATGTGAGTGTAGACATCAGTGTGTGTTTTTCAGTGAAACCCAAGTGTAAGTTTTATTTATAGCTTAGGTTTTTGTGCCTGCAAAACATAGCTGTCTATTTTCAGCAGGCCCTAACAGATTATTTGTAACATAAATACTATGAATCTGAAAATAGGGAGGGAAAGTTTTTGACACAGACTGAAACAGTGTCATTTAAGTTTTAATACTAGTGCTAATTGCTGTGATGACGTGAAATGCATTCTCTCAAATCAGATTTATAGCCCAAAACTGGTTCCTGCTTATGTTTCTTTAAGGATCAGGAACTGTGATATATGATGCAATGGGCAGAAAACTGGTTTTGCCAAAAGACTGTGTCTCCAGTCCGGAACACCAAACTGCCTGTTCCTCTGTGAGTGACATGCCCAGAGGTGCTGCTGCAGCAATGTCACAAGCAACTCCTCCAGGAAACAACAGGAGTGATCAGGATGAAGAGGTGGCAGCAGAGGATGATGTAGAGGGAACAAGTGTGGAAATGAACCCAGTCAGTGCACTTCATGTCTACTGCTCGCAGAAACGAATTCCATTCACTATCATTGTTGGTGACAAACAGGGCCCATATGGGTAGGTTTACTTGAGGAGATTCAGAAAATTCAATAAGTTCATGGGTCCCAACATCAAGCTGTAATCTTGTGTGCCTGTGAAGCTTTCAACTAATGGTTGATAGCTTTAACGAAGCTGTCCCGCCTTATATGAGTATAGGTGTGGGGCTGTCTTGAAGAACTTAATGGGCTGGACACGGGATGATTCACTCACGCTTGTACTCGGGTCGATCGTTTTCCTCTTGCCAAGCTGTTCTGCCTCATGTCTGTCAGAAGTACGTGTGAGGGCAGTTTTGGAAGAACTTTACTGGCCAGACAAGGGATGATTCGCTCTCTCTCATTAGATCAATGACATGGAACACAATAGTTACCCAAATTGATGATAAGTACACCTAGTTGCGCAAAGGGGTTTTTCTCCTAGAATCAACCCATGTATATGTGAGTTTTCGTCTTTGACAAACTTGGATGATGTGACGATCATCAGATCAGATCAGAGTTTAGGACCAGCTTCATCGTGTATGTCTCTCATTTGAGGTCTTTACTGGCTTGGGTATCTGTGCCCCACCATGGGATGAATGACAAAGTAGACACAATTTTTGGATAACAACTTCTTTAATACTGTAAAGGCGACGTTTCGGTAACGGTCCTTTTACCATTGTCAAGCAAGACTGAATGAGGACTTACTTACTTACTTTGGAGATTTAACGTGCGCTTTCCGACTGATGCGTATTTCGCACACGGGGCGGGCCATTCAATGTGTTTCCGAAAGGGGCAAAAGTGGTCTGTGCAACCCAAGAGGGGGCTTTAGGGGTTGCTTATATAGAATTTGGGAATTTTGAGATTTGGAATAGATGCCAATGGGGTTGAATGAGGAACATTGTACAGAATATATATAGTAGGTGGAGGATTAACAGTAACAACAATTGCATACATGAGTGGGATACCATGAGTACGTCATGACAAAAGAAGGATAATACTGTCACAATATGATGGACAGAGAACACAAAGGTGGCAGCCAATGAGATATGAAGTCAATTAAACGGAAAAGTTCACATAGGTGTGGTGATTATTGCTTAATTAGTTCATAGTGGGCGAATGGGATCTAATAGCCTTGATCTCTGTTGATTGATGGCTTGTGGCGACGATTGTGGACTGCTTCTGTTAGTTTTCTTTTAATGAAGTCATGGAGGTTGTTGGAGAGGATTTGGATGTTTTCCCAGTTGATGTTGTGTTTGGGGCAGTTGCTTATATGGTCTGAGATGGCTGATTTACTGTCTGATTTGATGGTTAAGATTTTGTGCTCTTTGATTCTGGTGTTGATTGGGCGGAATGTTTCACCTTCGAAGGATTGTCCACAGTTGCAGTCAATTTTATAAAATAGACCTTCAGGCTCTTGAGGTTTGGTAGTGTTTCTGCCATTGGCTCTTAGTAGTGAGTGAGTATGGTTTTACGCCGCTTAGAACAATATTCCAGCAATATCATGGCGGGGTACACCAGAAATGGGCTTCACACATTGTACCCACGTTGGGAATCGAACCTGGGTCTTCTGCATGACGAGTGACCGTTTTAACCTCTTACTAGGGTATTGAGGGAGGTGGAACTGATGAAGTAGGTGTCAATATTACCTTGCTGTTTGAGGAGGCGGCTGATGATGTGGGGGACTTTTCCTGTGAATGGGAGGGCGATACGGAAGGGTGCTGATTCAGATTAGATCTGGGTGTTGGATGGAGTCAAAGGAAATGACTTTGGGTGGATATTTGTTTAGGTGGGTGAAGACTTGATGAGGTATTCGATCTCAGGTTTGGGGTCAGCATAAGAGAGGTTGATGGCTCGTTTAGTGAGAGATGATGCTAGTCTTAGTCTTGGGATAAGTGCATTGTGTGAGAAATGATAAGTTTTAGAACTTTTGAAACTTGTAATAAATTGTTTACTTATAATACTTATCCTATCTCACACGGACAACTCCTCCCATCCCTGTATGCTGTTCGAAAGAGAATGAGTTAGCTGGGGACGTCACATGATCAGGCTGCACAGATTTATGCATTGCACAGACCATTGCTGGTGATGGTAACCATGGTTATGGCTGGGATGTATTTGGATGAGGCATTTTTTTTAACTGGTAACTTGTTTTCGGATCGTTTCCACACAAGGATCAAAGATGAAGGATCAAATGCATACTATGAGATAGGATAAGTATTATATAACACAATTTATTAGAAATTTCCAATGATAACTAAGTTTTGTTATAAGTTAAATTCTGAATCTATGGCATATTCTGGTAACTAAATTTCATGATACAAATGTACTATTTTTGCCAAGGCATAGATACACAGAACAATAATGTAGTACCGGTATGTTGTAAAAACAGGACTAAATGGTGAATCTCATTTCTGATTTGTCGACTTATGTGTCCAGTGTACACATACTAGCTGTATGCATAAGACAGAATCTCTTGTGCACAGTAATGAAGAAATTGTGCATTAAGCACAAGAAAAAGCATTGTCATATTAAAATGTCATGGTTGGTTTGGGCAGGTATGGAGATTGCTTGCAGTTAGGGTGCACTATTTGGAGCAAGGTAGATATTACTCACTGATCAGAATAGCAGGGCCCCGTTCCACAAAGCGATCGCAGCACTAAGACAATCGTAACTCCCATACTTTAACATAGACTTACGACAATCGTAGCGCTACGATCGCTTTGTGGAACGGACCCAGCAGTATAAAGGGCCATGACCCAGACTGAAAGTGAGGTGATGTCATGTCCTTACAGCTTGTGTTCACTGTCGTCACTTCATAGTACTGTCACAATCTCATTAAAATTAGGTTGTAGTGCTCAATATCACTACACAAAGATCTGGGGACATCCCACGTCATGTCAGAATGACCTTTTGTGAATTGTGACTGGCCAGTGAACTGGACCATAAGATCTGATTTTAATGAGATTTGAGTGTAATCACAACTTTTTGTTACAGACAGTAGAAAATTGCCCTGTAGGCACATAGTGTAATAATTATTTGACAGAAATCTAAATGTTGTGTATTGCAATGATGTCATCATCAAGTATAATTGGTGAAATACAATTACTTCAAATTCTACCATGACATTGAAGAATGCTTGATTCTTATTGGTTAAAAAGGGGCTTCATTTTTGCTATTGAAACCTCTTTTGAATATATTAAACCTTTTCATGAAAAAAGGTGTGTATGAATACATCGATAGCCTACATATCGATCCATAAAAGATAGCCGCTGATCACCCATAAGAACTGTATACCGTATCGATATTTCCTCTATTAGACAATGGGCCCCTAGCCAAATACAAGCCAGGTATCTATCCTAGTACACACTGTGTCAACAGCTGTCACGAAATTAATAGACAGCCAAGCGTCTGTTAGAGGAAATATGCTGTGATTGAGGTTGGATGTGACGATATGATGTTCTAGGCCGTAAGCCTGACTGCTTCGATGATGAGATAACAAGACTTAACAAAGGCATATCTTTTGCATACAAATAATACATACATCAGAAAACACTCCTCCCTTCGAAAAGCCATGAAACAAATCATCAAATGTCCCGACATAACCGAAGTCACAGCACAGGCACTTGATCACAACAGCTTATCAAACTTGATAAAATTTATTTCAGAGCATGCACAATTAAGTAAAACATACACGAATCACTGTGTCAGGGCCACAACTGTCACATTTCTTTCACATTCTGGCATCGAATGCCATGAGATCTTGAAACAAACAGGTCACAAATCCCTTGTGCCATAAAACCCCAGATCGACTGCAGCCTAAAAAGTGGCTGTTCAGTGATACTCCAGTTCCATTGGCAATCATGTATCTGCAGGCTCATTCTCAGTAAATCCTGAGGTTAGTGTTGAACCACATCATTGATCGGGGTTGCCATCTTGTTTCATGCAACTTGTCAGAGGCACGGTCAACAAGAACATTGGCTGTGACGAGTTACCGCAATGAAGGTCAAGTTCTGCCACATCCCAGTTCTGGGTGGAGAGGCATTTATTTTGAATTTGTATTATGTACTGGGGGTAATTGCTAACTAACTAATAAGACTTACACATTTACAATAAATAAGTTGAATTTTATTTCATAAAGTTTGTTTGAGAAATATATTTGTTTAGCATTTTAAAATCTATTTCTACAACCTGTCACACCTACAATGGAAAGGACATATCCGATTTCCAAGAAATGACTTCTGTCGCTGATTTCTAAATAATGACTTGGTGAGTCCAAACAGTGTACAACAGGTTGTGATGGAATTCAAACACATGTCTATGGACTCTTTTTGGAGGGTTATTTGTCAACTTCCTTTTGAAAAACCATGTGTTTTGAACCCTTATTTTGAACTTGTCAAGACTATAAGTATTTTTCATTGAACTTTAGTAATATTTGTTACATTTATAACAACCTGTGACCACTTTTCGGAATGTTCTAAGAGGGCAGACCTTTGACCCCTGTGTATCTTACAAGAGAGCACCGTTTTCAAAAAGGCTATTGCCTTCACGGTAGAATGGAGATAAACCTACTGTGTTTTGAAATTTGATGTTGTCCCACTTTAGAGTAGATACCTCTTGTTTATACATTTGAAATCTAATGCTAAAGCGCTTGATTCCTGGCAGCAACTTACAGATGTTCTTGTCATTTCAATGAGCTGGAGTGCACTAAATTGTTTTTAGGTTAAATTATGTGTCTGTATTGTTTTGTGAAGAACACAGACAATGTATGGCATGTGTTTTTAATGGCAGATTCTAATCTGATAGTTTTACAGCTGAGGTGAAAGTTCACGATAGAAAGATGGTTGAAGCTTGTGGTCGTAGTAAGAAAGAAGCAAAACGGAAAGTAGCATCTGAAGCACTACAGTCTCTGACTGAAACAGAGCAGGTAAGTTCTGTTCTTACTGTCCCAGCTGCCGTGTCCCATTACAAACTGGTCTTACTGTCCCAGCTGCCATGTCCCATTACAAACTGGTCTTACTGTCCCAGCTGCCATACCCCATTACAAACTGGTCTTACTGTCCCAGCTGCCATGCCCGAATACAAACTGGTCTTACTGTCCCCGCTGCCATGTCCCATTACAAACTGGTCTTACTGTCCCAGCCGCCATGTCCCATTACAAACTGGTCTTACTGCCCCAGCTGCCATGTCCCATTACAAACTGGTCTTACTGTCCCAGCTGCCATACCCCATTACAAACTGGTCTTACTGTCCCAGCTGCCATGTCCCATTACAAACTGGTCTTACTGTCCCAGCTGCCATGTCCCATTACAAACTGGTCTTACTGTCCCAGCTGCCATGTCCCATTACAAACTGGTCTTACTGTCCCAGCTGCCATGTCCCATTACAAACTGGTCTTACTGTCCCAGCTGCCATGTCCCATTACAGTCTGGTCTTACTGTCCCAGCTGACATTCAGATTAGACTTGACATCCAAAGGACTAGTAGAAGCTATTATCTCCATTCCACTTCTGTCAGACCAGAAATGGCTATTGATTAATCTGTTTTATATATGAATTTACATCATTGAATATGACACTCTAAAACTGTTGCAGTTACATTTACATTTCATCCTCTAACACTTGTCTAAAGGTATGAAAAATGTTATATTACACTAAATTTCTCCATTTCTTATGTAAGGCTGAAAAATAAAATAAAATTGGTTCTCAGGCAATAGCTTTTGAAAATATCGTGTGGGCGGGCGGCCCTTTTTTTTTTGGTTGTGTACACACTTGTAAGAATCCAAATCCATATATTGCTGTGAATAAGGCGAGTTTTACATAACTAGAATTAGGAGGCTTTCAAGGTATGTGTGTGTGTGGGGGGGTGGGGTGGGGGGCTGTCGTCTTATACACAGGGTTGAGTATTTTATGTTTTTTTTCCTCAACACATCATATAGATATCACTGTGGGCACGGAACACCGGAAATACCATGTCAACAAATCCGTACAAAATCTAAATGCTCAAATTAATCATGTAATTACACTGTCTGGTTGTAGAAAGAGTTCATAGTATATCTGGATTTATGTTGGTAATCTATTTAATAGTTTTATTCAACATTTCATTCAATATTGTTTCAATTCATTTCGGCAAAATCGTATGTGAAGTGATCGGAAGATCGCACAACTCACCGTTATTTACAGCAACCACGGTCATATTACAGCTATTGACGCCTTGAAACAAACTTTAGTGGATAGAGATTGGATATATATATCATATTATATGCCATACATTGAATTGCTGAAAGTCTTACTTGTTGTAGTTTGACTATTATATGTCAACATTAAGTTTTTGCAATCGTGGGCGCATGGACGTTGATTGGTCAAATTCTTCCATTTGAAAACATTTCCGGCAATGGCGATCAGCTGAACCCAAGTGCTACGCTTATGGTTATTAATTTATTTCACATATATATAGTAAAGCTGCAACTACATATGATATTGGAATAAATTATTCCTGACAAAATAATGGTTTCAGATACAATTCTTCCGCTCATTGTTTCAAAATTCTTTAAAGTTATATTATTGGCCAAATCACCGGTAGATTCTGAGAAAAGTGTATACAGCTGAAAGCTACTTCCGGCTTAGTTTACGAGACAAGACACACAGTAATCTTAATCTCTGCATATAAAACAATGCCAATCAGAACAGGAAATACAATTTAATCGGCTAATCATTATGTTTAGTGATGTTTTATCTCAAATTTGTATTGACCAAGTTTAATTGATATAATCTGTTCCGTTTCCCTGAATTCGCTGAAGGGCTACGATTGTAATTTTGTTTTTTCTGTGGAAGACAAACACATTGTTATTGCAAATGTAGAGATTTTGTATGCAATAGTGATGTGCTATAATCCGATTCGCTTTATAGCCGGGTTATATAAATAAGCATCGATTTCCCGCTTATTTTACGAGAGAAAAATAACCCCTGCATTGTCCCTCATACAGTACACAAATACCATTGAAATTGTATTTGAATACCGTCATCATGTCTAGTGATGTTGTATTGCAAATTTAATGTTTTCATTGACCAAATTTACAAACAGCAAAGCAAGCACACAAACTCCTATTGCCCCCATGACCATAACACACGAGATGCGCAGTAAGCAGTGCGCATGAAAAGGGAAGTAACTGCACGTTATATTGGGTCGCATTGTTTTTAAGTATTGTAGCATTTCACAGTTGAGGTCGTGTGTTCGAGACGCGGAACATTTAAGGATTTTGTGTTTTGAAAATGGAAATAAAAACGAAACGTGCGGCAGACTTTATGATGATGTGGCGGTGCCTGAGAACCAAGAATTATTCTTTTTTAGCCTTAATAATTTTCAAACAAACAAGTTATAAAAGGTTAATAAATTTGGTTGCCAATATATATACGTTTGATATGATATTGGAAAGATATAAATATCCATACTGTAATTCACTGCATGAAAAAATATGTGAAAGATTTGCAAAATCTACATCGTGATTGATACTGTTAGAAGCAGGATAGAAAGATTGTGTTAACTTTTGTTAATCTGACCTTCACCTCAAAGAAATGACCAAATATGTACTACAATGTTTACTACCTGTAACAGACTTTTGCATAATGGCATGTTCACTGACAGCAGTGTGCAAGGATATTCAGAGATATTGCTAAATGTTTTCACAAGTAGACATTCCTGCTTCATTTCCATCCTTGCTTTAAGAATGGCTGTCACATTGGAAATATGATTTTATCCATTTCTTATCATCAACTGACAGTTGTTATGTTGTATTACTAACAATAACACATGTTATATTTTGCTGGGCTTTTTATTTGTCTTACAGCTTCAACCTTTGATCTTTACAAATGTACTGCAGTGACTGCCAATAGTGCCATGGTCATGATAAACATGTACTTTTGGCACTCAGCAGAGCCAGTTATGCATCTAGAATTCTGTAATTTTGATAAGAAAATAAGCAAACTGTGTGTAATTACTGCAAAATAGATAACAGTAATCAAGATACTCAATCCCCAGTAGGTTCAATTGAAGATATCTTGAACTTTCATTTCATCTGCGAGAAAGTCCTATCACACCACATCCATCTACTTCCATGTGAAACACAACATTCTCAGCCCAAAAGTATCATACCCAAGACTGTTTTCTCATAAGGCACAAACTGTTCTAAATATACAGAGCTGTGTATTCTCATCATATTTGTGAATGTCTATTAAGTGGGATATTTCCCAGGTTTTCTCTGTTTCAAGTTTTCAAGAACAGATGTGGCAAAGGAATCAGTTTTTCACCTCTTGACTCTCTGTTGTGCCTGAAACTAATAGTATGGACTGATAGTCAACACTGATGTGTTATCTCCCTTAGAATGTACAAACAATTGGGGTCTGTTTATCACAGAATAGATCCTTTGTGCAACTCTGGCAGTGTCTGTATACTCTATCTGGAGGGGTGCCTTGAGCCTCTGGCAGTGTCTGTATACTCTACAGTCCGTTTGACTCCAAATGAGAACGATGAATTGCAAAATAACTCGAAATCCAGAAAAGAGTATGAAACATCAATACGGTACTTGACCATGAATACCCTGTACCCAACAAAATCTAAATTTTGTTTAATTTAAGACCCATGCTGGATGAAGTTCTTTAAGAAACTATCATGTTATTTTGTATAGAAATGTGTACATGACACGTAAGGGGGACAAACCGTGGAAGGCACAGCGCAAGCACGCATGCACTGCACGTTCTGTGGTAGGTGAAATGACAGAGTGTTAGAGGGGCCGTCTCATGATAATTTCAGTTGCAATCTGACTCGCTCATGCCATAGATCTCGTCGTCGGTACTGCTGGTGCCTGAACCAACTGCCACTATTATAGGTTGGACTGTTGCTGGCCATAGTCCATCTCGTGACCAATAACGTGGCTCTATCTCGTCAAAGACTGTGGCCACACAACGCCTCCATTTTTCTACTGTTACCCGACCAAGGGATTTCTTTACGAGTTGTTCAACATCTCGTAATTTGAACGTTGTGTTCGATCGTCCATCGTCACCCTTGACGATGGCCCATACCAACTCGATTGGATTCAGGTCGCAGTGATAAGGTGGCAGTCTTAAGACAGCGTGACCCTGACCCTTGATGTAACTGTCAACTTTATACACGGGGTCAGGTTTCATAGTTTTGATGATTTCATAGAGCTGTGGTTTCGTCGCTCGAGAAGGAAAGGTAATGTTCCTCTGTTGCAGCCAAGTAACCATGTCTCCTTTACGGTTATTAGAGGTAGGAGTCTTGCTTTCTGGATCCTGCACGCTATGATACGGTGCATTGTCCATGACAATGAGAGACTTGGTAGGCAAAGCAGGGACTAATTTATCTTTCACCCACTCCAGAAATACATTGCCGTTCATTTCTGTGTGGTAGTCCCTGTTGTCTTTGGCCTTGGCTCTAAAGATGAGGTCACAGTCTGGGAGAAAACCCTGACTAGCAGAACCAGCATGGAGAACTATGAGTCTTTAACCCTTTCCCATTGGTAACTTTCTACCAGACTCCTTACAGTCACCACTGGGTACCCACTGACTGCTGGCTGTGTGTGACGCATTTAGCCATGTCTCATTTAAGAAGATGGGCTCATATCCTTCTTCACGTTTCTGCTTGATGGTACGAAGGTAATGATTTCGGAGACGAACAATGTCAGACCGTTCACACAACACAGCCCTATTTTCTCCAGTTATCTTTTTGTATTTGTAACCAAATGTATGCAACAGCTGCCATAGTTTGTACTTTGTAACACGTAAATCATGGTCAGTTTCAAGGTGTTTCTTCAAAATTCTTAGGGACAGGTACTTATTTTCTGAGTACAGTTTAACAATTGCACGTCTGACTTGATCCCTCTGAAAACTGTCTAATTTATCAACCTTGCATGGTTTTGACATGTTCCCTACCTCCTTGGCCTGACTATTTGTATCTTGTCGACTAACAACATTTTTAAGTTTCTGAGGGGACATACCAAGAGCTTTTGAAGCTCGTTTCAAGAATTTATTAATTGCATAAAAAGGCTTTGCTCTTTCTGCTTCACTTCTAAAGAAATCATACACATTCAACATCAACTGTTTAACATCTGCTGAGTAGCGTATCTTGTCATTGAATGGACACGGTCACTGTGTAGCACGTGCAGACCGTGCTTGCGCTGTTCCTTCCACGGTTTGCCCCCCTACGTGTCATGTACACATTTCTATACAAAATTACATGATAGTTTCTTAAAGAACTTCATCCGTCATGGGTCTTAAATTAAACAAAATTCAGATTTTGTTGGGTACAGGGTATTCATGGTCAAGTACCGTATTGATGTTTCATACACTTTTCTGGATTTCGAGTTATTTTGCAATTCATCGTTCTCATTTGGAGTCAAACGGACTGTAACTGGTGTTGTGCCTTGAGCCTCTGGCAGTGTCTGTATACTCTAACTGGAGGGGTGCCTTGAGCCTCTCTCTATCTGAAGGGATGCTTTGAGCCTCTGGCAGTGTCTGTATACTGTCTCTATCTGAAGGGATGCTTTGAGCCTCTGGCAGTGTCTGTATACTCTATCTGAAGGGGTGCCTTGAGCCTCTGGCAGTGTCTGTATACTCTATCTGGAGGGTGCCTTGAGCCCCTGGCATACTGTATACTCTCTCTATCTGAAAGAATGCTTTGAGCCTCTGGCAGTGTCTGTATACTCTCTCTATCTGAAGGGATGCTTTCAGCCTCTGGCAGTGTCTGTATACTCTCTCTATCTGAAAGGATGCTTTCAGCCTCTGGCAGTGTCTGTATACTCTAACTGGTGCTGTGCCTTGAGACTCTGGTAGTGTCTGTATACTCTAACTGGTGTTGTGCCTTGAGCCTCTGGTAGTGTCTGTAAACTCTATCTGGAGGGGTGCCTTGAGCCCCTGGCATACTGTATACTCTCTCTATCTGAAGGGATGCTTTGAGCCTCTGGCAGTGTCTGTATACTCTCTCTATCTTAAGGGATGCTTTCAGCCTCTGGCAGTGTCTGTATACTCTCTCTATCTGAAAGGATGCTTTCAGCCTCTGGCAGTGTCTGTATACTCTAACTGGTGCTGTGCCTTGAGCCTCTGGTAGTGTCTGTATACTCTATCTGGAGGGATGCTTTCAGCCTCTGGCAGTGTCTATATTCTCTAACTGGAGGGGTGCCTTGAGCCTCAGGCAGTGTCTATATACACCAACAGGTGGGTCGCCTTGAGCCTCTGGCAGTGTCTGAATACTCTAACTGGTGTTGTGCCTTGAGCCTCTGGTAGTGTCTGTATACTCCATCTGGAGGGCTGCCTTGAGCCTCTGGCAGTGTCTGTATACTCTAACTGGAGGGGTGCCTTGAGCCTCTGGCAGTGTCTGTATACTCTCTCTATCTGAAGGGATGCTTTGAGCCTCTGGCAGTGTCTGTATACTCTAATTGGAGGGGTGCCTTGAGCCTCTGGCAGTGTCTGTATACTCTCTCTATCTGAAGGGATGCCTTGAGCCTCTGGCAGTGTCTGTATACTCTCTCTATCTGAAGGGATGCCTTGAGCCTCTGGCAGTGTTTGTATACTCTCTCTATCTGAAGGGGTGGTTTAAGCCTCTGACAGTGTCTGTATTCTCTAACAGGTGGTGTGCCTTGAGCCTCTGGCAGTGTCTGTATACTCTAACTGGTGTTGTACCTTGAGCCTCTGGCAGTGTCTGTATACTCTAACTGGTGTTGTGCCTTGAGCCTCTGGCAGTGTCTGTATACTCTTACTGGAGGGGTGCCTTGAGCCTCTCTCTATCTGAAGGGATGCCTTGAGCCCCTGGCATACTGTAAACTCTATCTGAAGGGATGCTTTGAGCCTCTGGCAGTGTCTGTATACTCTATCTGAAGGTATGCTTTGAGCCTCTGGCAGTGTCTGTGTACTCTAACTGGAGGGGGAATTGAGCCTCTGGCAGTGTCTGTATACTCTCTCTATCTGAAGGGATGCTTTGAGCCTCTGGCAGTGTTTGTATACTCTCTCTATCTGAAGGGATGCTTTGAGCCTCTGGCAGTGTCTGTATACTCTAACTGGAGGGGGACTTGAGCCTCTGGTAGTGTCTGTATACTCTCTCTATCTGAAAGGATGTTTTGAGCCTCTGGCAGTGTTTGTATTCTCTCTCTATCTGAAGGGATGCTTTGAGCCTCTGGCAGTGTCTGTATACTCTCTCTATCTGAAGGGATGCTTTGAGCCTCTGGCAGTGTCTGTATACTCTAACTGGAGGGGGACTTGAGCCTCTGGTAGTGTCTGTATACTCTCTCTATCTGAAAGGATGTTTTGAGCCTCTGGCAGTGTCTGTATACTCTCTCTATCTGAAGGGATGCTTTGAGCCTCTGGCAGTGTCTGTATGCTGTAACTGGAAGGGTGCCTTGAGCCCCTGGCATACTGTATACTCCATCTGAACACAGTAGAGAATCTTCTTGTTCTTTGACATTCACTACTTTAGAATACGATAGAGAATCTACTTGTTTTTTGACATTCATTACTTTAGAACACAGTACAGAATCAGCTTGTTCTTTGACATTCATTACTTTAGAACACGGTAGAGAATCCTCTTGTTCTTTGACTTTCACTACTTTAGAACACGGTAGAGAATCAGCTTGTTCTTTGACATTATTTACTTTAGAACACACCAGAGAATCAACTTGTTCTGTTACATCCAGTACTTTAGAACACACCAGAGAATCAATTGGTTCTTAAATATTAGCTTCTCAGGATTTTCTTGTTCTTGAACATTTACTAGTTTTTTCTCTTCTTTTTTTTGACAAGTTCTAATGTTGTCTTTAAGTTATATCCCGGTTTCGCGAAAAATCCTAAATGTCATCACTAATATTGTCTCCTACCTGAGACTGAGAGGGTGTGCTGCAGGCCAGTAGTCATGATGATGAGCCTGTCTCCAGCAGGTGCCAAGTGGGATAGATGACCTCCCTCTCCCAGACAAGATGGCCAACATTGCCTATCAGAAACTCTTCAGCATCCTGCAAGATGTTCCAGATTTGTATGCTGTGAAGAAAAATTTTGCTGCTTTTATTGTACAGAGAAGTAAGTTTTTCTCCAAATGTTTAACATATTGAATTTCAAGTGCACTTCTAAGCAAACTTTCTGGTTTACTTTTCGACAGTGTAAGGAATACGGGTCATTTAAAGGATCTAGTTTCTACACAGAACCAAATGAACTTAATGAACCATTTTTGTCTGAATAACATTGATTTTTTACCCAGCTATAGCTTATTATTATGAAATATTCAAGTTTTAGTTTGTTGTTGTAATGATATTTTTGTTATTCATATTTACATGTTCTTTTTTATCCTTTGTATTACCCCTCATGAGGCAAGAGTGTCCAAAAGTCTACATCAAAGGCTAGTTTCCACCCTTGACATTTCAAGCCTAGTTTTCTTGGCTTGATTATGATGCCACCCAATGTAGAACACAAGTTGTGTCCCTTGTGATGAAAATATGATATCCAGATCACTCTTCATATTTCAAATTGCTCCACAAAGATGACTATCATAGCTGACAACCTGGTCAATCAGATAACAAAAAGATTCCAGATTTCCCCCCTGACAGACAAACAAACTGAAATATTGCCACTGTAAGGGACTTATTCAAATCTTGGTCTAAGTTTAGGGGTCAGGGGTTAATGACCCTGGAACTTTTCCATCTGACAAAATCAACATCTCTTATTTCTCAATGTTGCATAAAGTAACTAAACTAACCCGAACCTATTTTCGTTCCTATGGTTGTTGACCATGGTTATTAAATACATCCAGTCTTCCCATGAAGTAGGGCGTTATCGTTGCTTGCAATAGTCATAAGTACATCTAGTGCAGTGCATAACATAGCACAGCAGATTTGATCTATAAAAACCCTTCAAATGATTTTCAACACCTAGTAAATACACTTCAGTCAATAAACTTTCTGAAAAAGCAAGGGAAAACACAAGAATGATTGACAAAAGAGATCACAAATCTCCTGACTTCAACATTTTCTGAATTAAGTTTCTTTTGGGGGTGGGTGTTTGAGGCATGTGCCTCAAAACTTGAGGAATTAAAAATAATTTTCTGACATCGCACCTTTGAGCTGGTCCCTGAAGATACTGATTAGTGCTGCATGTCGCTGTCAGTAATACAGACTACACAGTATCAAATAACATTGCACGTCACTGGCACATGAAACGCACAGTAGGGGTCATCTAAAAATAGCACGTTCAAGTTAAAAAAACAATGCAATTTACACTCAAATATTTAAAAGCGCTTCGGGGGTACGAATGAAAACTTTGAAACACTTGAAAATAATTGTTCTTTCTTTATGTTTGGCTGTCAGGTGAACAAACAGGAGATAAACTTGGTCCATGAAAATTGAATTCTCACAATAATACATCCCTCGACATGATTATTTACCATTTCAACTGTATTTCCATCTGTGTATGAGTAGTATAGGTAATGGTGATTCTGCCGCAATCCCCACTGGAGCCAGATTTATATACCTTTACTGCTACTACAGAGGGAATTTTTTATTCAAAAATGATGATGCGATTCAACGATCGTCATGATTCGTATTAAAAGAAACATCAATATTAATTAATAATGGATAAAATTTACTATAGCCCACAAGGATATTGGAAAGGTATAGGAGCAGTACAAAAATTATCCACCGCGGCTAAGGTATCTAAAGATGTGGCCAAGGATTGGTTAAAGAAACAAGCGATGTGGCAGATATACTTGACGGCACCGCGTTATATCCCGAGGAAGAAGTTTGATATTTTTACAACGAATGAAGCTCATCAGGCTGACCTGTTGTTTCTCACCCATGATAAGGTAAGACGCAAAACGTATAAATACACTTTAACCGTAGTGGATGTGGCTAGTCGATACAAAGAGGCTGAGCCATTAACCTTGAAAGATTCAACAGAAGTAGCTAATGCACTGAGCCGCATATATAAACACAGACCACTAAAATGGCCTAAGTTATTTCAAGTAGATCCTGGTCGCGAGTTTATGGGATCAGTAACTAAACTGTTAACAAAGCACGATGTCGAAATCAGGCCTGGTGAAAAAGAGGCCCACCGTTGTCAAGTTAACCAGACATTAGTGGAACGTTTGTTTGGCTATCAGTATGGGATCGAAATGAAATCAGAACGATTAAGATCAACCGAATGGGTGACACGATTATCAGCTGTTGCATCAGCGCTAAATAATAAAGTAACGAGATTAATTGGGAAGAAACCATCCCATGCGATTAAAATTGAAATCTGTGACTTCCGAATCTTCAGCACGGAGGAGAGGCAAAGAACAAAAACTTCCGGATAGAGTAAGCGTAAGATATTTATACCAGCACGGTGAACTCGAAGGAGGCCTACGTCGCGCAACCGATCCGATTTGGTCTCTTAAGATATATAACATTAGTCGGTTGGTTATGAAAGAAGGAGAGCCTATTCTTTATTATCTTAAAGATGGACCGGGTAGGGAAGAAGAGTTGCTCATAGTTCCCAACGATACAGTATTACCATCATAACCATAAGCATAGGTATTTACACCATCATTATCAATCCATCTCTTTGAATCTAAGGGGGATAATGATGTCTTGTTCATTCTTAATCCATATATCCTTCGATTGACACTTCTTAAACTGTTCATCTCGTGTTTGAATGTTCTACCATTGAATAATGATTCTTTATACTGTTCATGTTTGATATGCTTTTTTACCACAAACTTCTTAACACCCTTACCACATACTTCTTAACACCCTTAGCTTTTCTTATCTCTCCATTATTGGACTTCTATATAGAATACATCTTAGGTCTTAATCCAACATACTCCGCAATAGGGGTCCCAGCACATTCATCCTTCATCTTACCTAATACCTTTTTATTTACTACGCTGTGCAGTGGATTATCTTTTGGGTATTCGCTCATGTCGTACATATCTATTTTATCTGCCATATCTTTATACACATCCTCGGTTTGTATTTCCATCAACAAAGAATCTGTGTCGGTATATAACACCTCACATCTATCGCCGTACTGCTTCTTAAGTTCGTTAAAAATTAAGTGTTTTGACAAGTCAAGAATACCCATACCAACGTACACCGGTTGAATTTTATATTACTCTTCTGCATATGTAGCGCGGCTAAGTCGTTATCAATTATCTTACTTCTGTTAAAAGCCGGACTGGCTATAAATTTCCTAAGTCTTTCTTCCTCATTAGATCTGTCCAATTTAACTTCAACACGCTTCCATAGTTTTACCAAATACTGAGTTATTCAAGAGCTTATATAGATTCTTTTCGAAATCGCTGGTAGCCATCATTCTTAAATCTGTGTTCAGCCTTATATAGGGTTCCATCCAAGGGCTTTGATCAAACTGTAGAACTCTGTATTTTCTTTAGTTTCATACTTAACGATAGATATAACTGGATATTTCTATAGTGAACTATATATTTTGTCTTATCCATCAAATTTGGTACAAGTTTTTCTACGTTAGCTAACCTAGTATTACCCATCAAGGAGTGCTGATATTCCGACATCTAATCTTTATTCACCATTCATCTTTCGGGAGCTAGCGGATAACTGTTATTGTCTTTGTGCAACTAATTTGGATATTCCAACTTCTAGTATGTACCCTTTATTCACATGAATATCATTCACATCGATATCATTCACATCGACCCACTCAATACCACCTGTGGGTAAAGGCTGACTCATAGCCCATCTGTACAAATTGTTGGCGTCGAGATATAATATGTGCGTGTCGGGTTTACTCGGATCCTATCCTTCCACGAATTTATTATTAGCCATAGCATACCTTTTAGCTGTCATCGATATATACCACCCCTTAATCCTTTCTCAATAAACAAGTGCATATCGTAATCGGTGAGTAGTTTTAGTTCTATGCCGGTCTTCTTCAACAATGCATCCCAGGATTGTCCGGGACTGGAATAGTACCATGCCGGGTCCAAGCCGTATTATTTTAAACATGTCTTTCTAAATATATCGAATATATCGCCGAGTAACAGTACATTGGTTTTTAAGTACAGATCGTGATAATCGCCTAAATTCTTACAACCTAATTTATCCCACACCGTCAGAGTGTGTTCATAATCAGCATCGGTTATTTTAGATTCTGTTAAGTTACTATAGAATGATTCGAGGGGTGGTAATTTAGTTTCGTCAAATCTAGACCAATCGTTCATATATTCGTAAGGATATACACCTTTTCTCAACAACAAATGACGAATTAACCAATCAGTATATTGATTTGTTATTGCAAAGTCATCGGGATTGTTCGCATTAACTAAATTGTCCAGGGAAGATAACAGAAACTACAGAGTCTATGAATCTAAGCCCATTACTTTGTTTTCTTCTGGCTTTCCCATCCTTGTCCGTGTAATGTATAGTTTTAGTCAACGAGAATGATATGTATTTTTCCATATTATTAGGAATACACGTTAAGCCGCCGTCGCTCTTTGAGATAGCTTGCATGATGAGATGTGAATCATATCCCCTAAGGTTGTGAAACACAACGGGGATGGGTATTGTTTGAGAATTCATTTTTAGTTTCAAGTTACACTTGTTATGCGCAGCTCCCCGATAATTACCCTTGACGTGACAATGATCTCTTACTGAATCCCCATTCAGGGGTTTATTACAAACATGACAACTCGTTGATTTCTTATAGGCCCTCCAATCATCCCTCATCATACACATGGGTTTCTTACGCGATAAATTTTCCACGATTATTCTCTCTTCATTTTGTAGTTATTCTAGGAATTTTCCTGCTGCATCGGGACCTCTGTAAATCACGGGCGGGTTTGTTTTCCCATCATACCTTACAACTATATATCCAAACCCACAAGGAATAAAAGGTAAAACTATATTGATTGCTTCGGTCGGTATTTTCTATCGGTTTGTAAAGCGCTTCGAAGTCAGCGTAAATTACGTACGGTACTGGCATTTGATTACAATAATGTTCAAATTTTAATGTATTTTTTCCCTCTTTAGGCATATCAATCCTGATAGCAGTCTGTCCAACACCTCTGCAGTCTT